GGCGAGCGTGGGCCAAGATGAAGGTCGGCATGGCACACACGAGGGGGCGGAATGTCCAGCAGCATGCACACCGCTCCAGGTTCTAATTAATGGCCGAACCAACCTTGGCGAGGTTCAGGATTGGTTCAGATAGTCGCCACCGATGTTAGCAATGATCCAGGGTAATCGAATGCAGGTCACCGGGTTCGTGGCGCGGTGCACTAACCACTATACTACAGCTCCACTCATTCTAACACGCACACACAGACAATTATTGCCGTCACTGAAACACCAAATACAACATTGCCCAATCTATTCATAGCCGCCGGGAGCCATTGCAGCTTGGCAAAGGCGACCGCCTCCAACTATCGCTCAGGAGGAAGAGGCAATCCTTAGACTCGGCCAATGTGGGCAATCGTTTGAAGGCGAGCAAGATCGCAGAGCGTCCTGTGTGGATGTTTGCGCACGTGAAATTGTAGGTGGTGTCGCCGGAACGAGCTGCAAATTCCAGTAATAAACGCAGGCCCCTTTGTTGGGTTTGAGCCTCACGCTGTTTTAATGGTACGCCTATTGCACACGCTGCATTATTTACCATATATACATATTATTAGACGTGTAAAATGTAAATACAGGGCCAGCGATTTGTGTGTATTGCAAAGACAAAAAGCGATCGGGGTGAGCTTTGTCAGCGGCAGAGCTGGCATCGCTCGTTCCACCCATTAATAAATACATGTATTTATTTACGGGCGAGTCGAGGCGACTAAACAATGTCTTCCGTACCCTCGTTGTGTTTCGCTGCGTCGTCTACACGTGCTGAAACGAGGGCGCCGCTCGTTGGCGCACAGACGACTCCCCCCGTCCACGGAGCTGCTGGGAGCTCACGTGTCGTTTTTCGTTGAAACCTCGACGCACCATCCAGTTTCACGGCGACATTACTGCTCGTTGTCCGTAGACGTTCGGAAGCGACTTGGTGTGGCCCCCATTGCGGACAAGATGCTTGAGGCAAGGCTTCGGTGGTACGGCCATGTGATGCGAAGTGAAGAGTCATCAGTGGCCAAGATTGCCATGCGTATTGAGCCAGAGGGCCGCCGTCCACGCGGACGTCCGAAGAAGCGATGGATGGATCGAATAGAGGAAGACATGAAGACGGTCAACGCATCCCCTGAAGATGCCCTGGACCGAGCCAAATGGAGAAAACAATGCCGAAAAGCGGACCCTGTGCCACAGCGGGAACAACGCTAGGAAGAAGAAGATTACTGCTCGTTGTCCGTAGACAATAGCGGCAGCTTTAAAGTGCGATGCACTGCTGAGCGGTGGCCGTGAGCATTCCTTCGAGGAGGCCAGGCAGGTTTTACACTTACGAACTAATTGCTAGGAATGATTCTTTGTTGAGCACAACGGTGTCGTATCGATCGATACACCCCGGCACCTTACCACGGGACCTTTAAAAGGGCCGCGAGCTCATTACACACATCCCACCTTTTGTCAGGCATCCTCCACACAGCTCCCCTCCATTGAAACAAAACCGACACCAAGTTCGTCTGTGCGACTCTGGACCACGTGGAGGCATCTCTGTGCTGCTCGCCGCGACACCCGCGAGGCATCCTGGGCCACGGGGAGCAAGGGCAGCAATCGCAGTGGCTCCACTGTGGCCATGAGATGTGAACTCGCCTTTCCTCCTGAAGACGATCGCTTGTGTTGTGATCGAAACGTCGTGGTTTTTGTGTTTTTTATCTTTCTATTTTTATTATTTTACCGAAAGAAACAAAGAATGTCTACATTATAGACTGCCAGTACGCTCACTCAGATTAAGAACCAGGCTACAGTCTACATTAGTGGGTTGTTTTTAATTATTTGTATTTAATTATTTATTTGTATTCACTTTATTTGTATATCTACGTGACCAAAGAATAGGTATACAGGTTGTGAGTTCGATCCCGATGCTGACGCCTGCTGCTGTATCTGTGGAGTTTCCATGTCTCTCTCTCCCCGTGGTCGCGTGGATTTTTCTCCGGGTCCTCCAGATTTTTCCTCCACATTTAGAACCAACATCACATCACGCATTTGGAGTATCTGGCTGCTATACATTTCCACACGACGATAATTATCCACTTCGTTGAGCTATCATTTGTGGCCAAGTCGCTTCTGAAAGAGCTACATAGCTCAGTGGGCCTTAGCCGGAAAAAATGAAAAGCTTAAAGTGAAATAGTGAGTCTATCCTCGTCTGTGATGGGCACGCCCAGGCTAAGTTTGGGGGGGGGGGCCCGAGGCTGTTGCAGTTTGTTTTGGGGGGGTCCTCTGTGTGTTTTAGATGCCTCACCTTCAATTGTCTCACAACCACCACCACCGCGCCCGATGCCGATCACCCCACCGTTAGCCACCTTGGTTATTTGAGTATTTTTTTAATGCGATAAATATACGAATTGGAAAGCTAAACCGAAGTTCAAACAAATCCATTTTTGCATCGGCACGTAATTGCTAGCCAAACACAGAGCGAGGCAAGCCTTTAATGGCCCAATGACAAGCTGGCAGTAGTTATCGTTCCGCCCAGTGTCGCGTCTTGACTTGTTTGTAATAAAGTGCTGCGTGTGTATTTCTGGGGTCCCCTCGCAATCCGGAGGCCCTCTGGACGTCCCCAGTGCGTGAATCCGGCTCCGGTGATGCAAGCGCTCTGGTAAGAAGGCGAGAGGACTGCGACGGAATCACCGATCCTGCTGATGTGAGCCACTCAAATCGTGGGGCTGTGTCACGACTACCTCGCCTGGTGTACAGGAGGTCGTGGGTTCGATACCGACCCTGGCGCCTGCTGCTGTATATTTGGAGTTTTCGTGTCTCTCTATCATCACAGTGGCTATGAGATGTTAACTCCCTCGCCTGGCGTACAGGAGAACGTGGGTTCGATACCGACCCTGGCGCCTGCTGTGTATTTGGAGTTGACGTCTCTCTCCGTCTCTCTCCACGTGGAGGCCACTACGTGGATTTGTCTCCGTCTCCTCCGAGTTTTGCCATCCACATTCAGAACGAGCTTCACGTGTTGAAGAGTATTTCGCCTGTCGCTGTAAATATCCACGTGGTGCTCATAAGCCACTTTGTTGAGCTATAATTTGTGGCCAGGTCGCTTCTGAAAAAGAGTTATATAGCGCAGTGGGCCTTACCGGCTAAAATAAAAAATTATAGTTTTTCACAGTTTTAAGTATTGCTCGCGAATGAATCGATTAACAGTGAATCGATAACCAATTAAGCGACATTTTCAAGATCGCCGCCCGATCAACTGTGAGCTGGCGCTCGGATAGACGGATCTGAATCGATTACAACTAAACCGTGATTCGCGATACACAATGGATACGTAGTGGTGGGGTGCGGCATCTCTGGGCCGTGATTTTGCCGAGTGTCCGATGTCACCGCCCTACTGACAGCAGCCGATGTCACCGCCCTACTGACAGCAGCCGATGTCACCGCCCTACTGACAGCAGCCGATGTCACCGCCCTACTGACAGCAGCCGATGTCACTTGCTCGCGGTCGGGCCCGATGCTGTGCCCGCGTGCAATCGCATAAGCTTTCGGGCACCCATCGAACCAAAGACGGCGCTCACCGCATCGCACGCTTTTAGATGCGCTGCTTTTGCGGCCGTCTGGAACGCTCTTCCTTCCGATATTAGGAAGCCACTGGATGCATTTTTAAATCATCATCGTCTAGATTGACACATTCCATTCTTCAGAGCTACTTTCTCCGTTTCATTTGTTCTCCCCCCGCACCTATGATCACGGTTGGCTACGTACAGTGCCAACTAAGTTCAACATACACTCCATACATTTAATCCTAGTTGAGTGTAAATTGCAGATAATTTTCAGAATTGGGATGTTTGGCTAATACTGGTTAAGTTGTATGGATGCGTGTTTTGTTCTCGCTATGGGAGTAAAACGGAGAACTCGGATGAAACCCCTTGCGGACCACGGGGCGAGAGTAAATAGAAGCCCCACACAGAAATGTGCACGAGAAGGGAATCGAACACAGGCCCTCCCTGCTGGAGGGGCACACGAGTGCCCTCCCACATGAACGTTAATCTCGGGCCGCTGCCCTCATGGCATTCTGTCCCAGTTGCGTCGCCACTGTCGCCGTGGCTGACACGGTACACGCTCGGCTCTCATCTCGGGTGCCACTCGATCTCGGCGGAATGACAGGACGGAATCGGCCGCACAAGACGACGTCCCTGGTTGTATGTTTTGGAAATGACACCGCCTTGCTCCAGCGCTGTGCTAGGTACAGGGCTGCCGTGCAAGCCGTTAGCATTGCACCAGCGGTTCTGTCACGGCATGCATGGCAGCGCGCGAAATCACACGGCAGTCGAAATGTTCACCGCGTGGCACATTTCGTGGTGCGCTCTCGCGTGGCAAGCAGCCCTAGAGTCGCGTAGACATTTCACACAAACAAGGGCGGTTCACTCAAAACTCTACCGCAGGTTGGCCTTGCTTTCATCTTATCATCGAGATGTTTTGAGGAGGTTGTGCATCGGGATACGTTTTGCACAGTGGAGTAAAGGTGAGTGCCCAACAGACTTGATGCACACGTGACGATGTTAATCAACGAAGGTCCGAAGGGTCAGGGTTAAATACTCACTGTCTGTATGAGAGTGGGTGGAGGGGCGTAGAGTGAGATGAGACGGGAGAGGTCGGAGCGTGAACGGAGGGGGGTAAAGTGAAATGAGAGGGAGAGGTTTGTGAGTTCGTGATAGGGGGTAGATTGAGCCGAGAGGAGAGAGGTAGGAGCGTGAATGGAGGGGGGAGGGGGTAGAGTGAGACGAGACAGGGGAGACATTTGTGAGTTCGTGGTAGGGGGTAGATTGAGCCGAGAGGAGAGAGGTAGGAGAGTGAATGGGGGGAGGGGGGAGGGGGGGTAGAGTGAGACGAGAGAGACGAGAGAGGTTTGCGAGTTCGTGGCAGGGGATCTCGAGTGAGATGACGCGGCAGAAACGCGTCGCTCGCTCGAGCGCGACCCGCGGGCGACCTCTCGCCGTGCTCACCGTCCTTGCGGTAGTAGTGCAGCTCCACCTTGCGCTCCTCGGCGGCGAGGAGGGAGCGCGCCACCTGGGCCACGGCGTGGCGCCGCGTGTCGGCGCCGTGCAGGAAGTCGCAGGTGCCGGCGCGCTGCATCACCTCGGCGCGCGAGAAGCCGCACAGCTCGCAGAAGCCATCGTTGCAGTAGATGATGGCGCAGTTCTCGGCGCGCGCGTTGGCGATCACGAACCGGCGGTCTGCGGGCAACAGCCACGGCGACAAGTTATTCACTGCGGTCACTCCTCGTGTCGCCGGGGGGGGGGGGGGGGGGGGGCAGTCGCCTCCCTACCGCGCTTCTAGCGCTACTGTCGTGGTTACGGTTCCTGGGAACGTCTGCTCGTCGACTGCACATGATGAGGAGCCGTTCTCGAGCAGAACGAGGGATTTATTTAGTCCGTACTGTGTTCGAGCACCACGCTGCAGGTCACAATGACACTCACTTACCCACTCACTCACCTAACTGTAGGTCACAACGACACTCACTGACCCACTCACTCACTCTCTCACTCACTGACCCACTCACTCACTCTCTCACTCACTCTCCCACTCACTCACTCTCCCACTCACTCACTCTCCCACTCACTTACTCTCCCACTCACTCACTCTCCCACTCACTCTCCCACTCACTCTCCCACTCACTCTCCCACTCACTCACCCACTCACTCACTCTCTCACTCACTCTCCCACTCACTCACTCTCTCACTCACTCACTCTCCGCACTCCACGTCACGACCCTTATCTTTCTGCTGCTGCCCTCTCATTGCTTGACCGTGGAATTCCCTCCCATCGTGTTTTTCCGTGGCTCTGATAATAATAATCGACTCTCTGTGTCGTTTTACATAACATTTCGATACTTTGCTAGGTTATTTAATTTAGTGTGTTCTGTCTCCCTCTAAGCCTGCTTACCTTACTCCCCTCCCTTCGTACTCATTGACATGTCAATGTTTTCCCTACCCCCTCCCTCTCTCTGCCTCCGCCCCCCTCTGTCTATTTAAGGCCACCCCACAGAGACGATCACCTCTCTCTGTACCTGGGTTGCTCTCTCTATGTATCTTGGTGATATCTGTCTGCTTATATGTCTGTCTATAGTTTTCTGGTTATATTCTATGTCGCTATTTCATTATACCTGATGATGATTGCTTGTGTTGCAATCGAAACGTCGTATGCAATTATTTAATTTATTATTTTATTTTTATACGTGACTTTACCGAAAAAACCAAAGAATAATTCCTGCAGTCACGAAAGCTCCAAAATTAAGATTGAATAATAATCTTATTCAATTCAAGGAAACTATTAGCTCTTACCTATCACACTTTCAACAGTGCTGTTAGCTTACCATTTTGGGGCTTTTGCCTCTACTCAGCAACTGCGATTTAAGAAGAGCAACATCAGCAATGAATGCGACCCTTTCAGGGTTTGCTATCTACACGCTCAGCCCTGTTGTTAATCCGCGGCTAGATGAGGGCCTCCCTATGCAGCGAGGGTTATGGGGGTTATGATGATTGATTACACTATGTAACACATTTTTTGTTCCTGGGTAGGAAGTGTTATTTCTTGATTGCTTATTCCTAAAAAGTACAGAAATTGGCTATTATTCTCCACAAACTTTGCTTTTGTGACCAGAACAGTGCAATTTTGAAACTACCTATTTTCAATGAGAAAACGGGCGAATTTGTGTCTTTTCGTTCACATAATGACAGAAAACAACAACATATGAATAAAAATTAACATGTATTTATACTAAAATAATATAATAATGACTACAAAAGATTTAGAAGTAGTTTTTCGAGATTTACGATTATACTGTAATTCACTATCACGAATCAGACTCCAAATGTAGTCTCCCATCATGTTCTCGTTATACTGTCCTTGGTAGCGGCGTTCAAAGTCCAGTATATCCTGCTGGAAGCGCTCGCCTTGCTCCTCCGAGTACACTCCCATATTCTCCTTGAATATATCAAGATGAGCATCAAGGATATGGACTTTGAGAGACATCCTACAGCCCATTGTGCCGTAGTTCCTCACCAGAGTCTCAACCAGCTCCACATAGTTTTCGACCTTGTGATTACCCAGGAAGCCACGAACCACTGCGACAAAGCTGTTCCAAGCCGCTTTCTCCTTACTAGTGAGCTTCTTGGGGAATTAATTGCACTCCATGATCTTCTTTATCTGTGGTCCGAAGAAGACACCGGCTTTGACCTTTGCCTCAGACAGCTTAGGGAAGAAGTCTTGAAGGTACTTGAAGGCTGCGACGCCTTATCTACATCTCTGACAAAATTGTTTCATAAGGCCCAATTTGATGTGCAATGGTGGCATCAGCACCTTCTAAGGGTCCACCAGTGGCTCCCACTTGACGTTGTTCCTCCCCACAGAGAACTCGGTCCGCTGTGGCCAGTCCCGCATGTGGTAGTGCACCTTGGTGTCCCTGCTGTCCCAAAGGCAAAGATAGCAGGGAAACTTGGTAAAACCGCCTTGGACACCCATCAGGAATGCGACTATTTTGAAGTCTCCGATGACCTCCCAGCCATACTCATCATACTTCAAGGCGTCCAGCAAGGTCTTGATGCTGTTGTAATCCTCTTTGAGGTGCACCGAGTGAGCTAAGGGAAGAGATGGATCCTTGTTACATTATGGAAACAGCACGGCTTTGAGGCTCCTGGATGAGCTGTCAATGAAGAGGCGCCACTCATTCTGGTTACAGGCGATTCCGATTCCCTCGAACAGACTGGTCACATTGTGGCAGAAGCAGAGTCCATCTTGACAAGTGAAGAAGTTGCAAAAAGGTTGGTGACGCTTCCTCTGATCTGCGACTTGCATACTTTCATCCAACAAGTTCCACTGCTTGAGCCTAGACGTTAAACGCTCGGCATTGGACTTGGTGAGACCAAGATCTCTGATCAAGTCGTTGAGGTATTTTTGGTTGGGGTAGTATGGGTTTCTCTCCTCAGCTCCACCTCTGAAATTGTCATCTGGATCTACAGTCTTCCTCGCTCTCTGACTTGCTGCTCTCTTCTAAAGACGGCTGCTCTCTCTCCGGAGGAGTGGGTATGGGGAGCTCATGGCGGTGTGGCATCGGGGCGATGGATAAAGGAAGGTCCGGATACGTGATAGCAGGTGCATTCTTGCCAGTCCGATGTATGGAAGGGTCCACCATGCAGAAGTAGCAGTTACTTAAGTGGTCAGTGGGTTCCCGACAAATTCTTGGGATAGCGAACTTCATGTCTGTCTTTTACCCTCTGTACCATCCTACAAAAATACATTTATTTCACCCATGATTGTAAGAGATTCTATAACATTGAAAATTGTAAAAAAGTTGAATTAAAAACTTTTACAATTGAAAATGTTTTAACAAATTTTATAATAAAACATTCTGAGCAACAATTGTCCATCTTACCTTCCAGAGTTTTTTTGCATTGCTCGCAGGTGAAATGAGGTACCCAGGGTTTGTCTTTATCCATGACAGGCATGCCGAAATATGCCTTGTAGGCCTCACACATCTTAGCAGATGCTTCCACAGAGTACTTTTTCGCTCTTGTCTTGATAAATTGGTCATAAACATAGCAACTTGCATCTGCCGCATGCTTGCAGCCTCTTGATGCCATCTCAAAAAAATTCAGATATGTATTCAATTAGGCAGCTGGAACTAAACTGAACTGGTGGGCTTAAGGCCCCGTATTTATACTACTATTTACATTACTGGAAAGTTCTAGAATGTTCTAGAAGTTACTCCAAGTTTACGCAGCACTGAATCTATCTGGAATGTTCTGGAAAATAGGTAAATTTCTAAATATCAATGTCCTGGTCACAAAAACAAAGTTTGTGAGGAATAATAGCCATTTCCTGTACTTGTGAGGCATAACCAATTAGGAAATAACACTTAGTACCCAGGAACAAAAATATAATTGTTACACAGTGTTATTGATCACACCTCACTATGCTGGTCAGTGTGAGTTGGCAAAGGCAGAAAGCATAGAAGAACAGTACAACAACTGATTGTGCTCTACTGCCCTGTGATGACCACGGCATAGAACAACTCCTCAGCCGCCTATAGCAACCCGGAATACATCGTGGTGGTGATGGTGGTGGTCACCCATCCAATCAAATTCAACTCTGCTTAACTTCCGAAAGCTGACGAGATCGGGCGCAATCTGGGCGATTTCGTCATCGCTGAATATAGAAGACGTCTAACCTAGTCATCGGACGAGATCACAAATATCTCACCAGTATTTAGCCAATTACAAATGTGACATTGGCTGTAGAATTTTAGAAACGTGATCTTTTTTTCGCGCGATTATAACCCAGCTCCGGATGCTTCACCGCACACAGCGCAAATGCTCTCGACTCGTCTGTTGTTCGTGCAATGAAAGTGTAAAGAAAAACACTCACACTTGTCAACAACAACTGCCTTCAAATAAGTACAATGGGTGACGTTTCAGGCAAGAACCCTTTTTCATTGCACACGAACCACAAGGGTCAGCGCCAAAATTTCACCTGTCATATACTTGTTATGTTAAGGCCACAGTATTACTGACAGGGCAGTTGAGGTTTTGTTATTTGTGCTTTGTGTACCACTACCAATGCAGTATCACCAAATCAATTACGATATCGGCTCCATCGCATGATGAAGAGGATTGTGTTGCAACGACAGTGACGCTGCTGCTGCTGGTGGTGACGCTGTTGACAAATGGCTATGGATATGCTCCCACAGAGCAATGACGATAGTACGCGCGCATGTGTGTGTAATACAGTTGTACTGTCTATATATACGCGCTTTAAAGATTGGCTATATATAACCACGACTGATCTTAATTACCCCCTATTCCCAGTGTAATGTGTTCCCTTAGGTCAACTGTGCTCATTGGCAGGTGAGGTTGTATAACGCAACCCTTGTTCTGCTTGGCTTACGCCGGCGCTGGCGATCACATTACGCGATTGTGTTATTCCACAAAAGGGGTTCTCACAGCGCCTGTTAGCGGGTATTACAAAAAAACACGGAGACATAAAACACCCCGACCACCGCTCGGTGAATGGGAATCATCTCGCGGGGATGAGACGGACACGGTTTCATTACCGCGGCCGCCTCTTCGAATCCATTGGTCGCTCCGTAGCCAACAACCCCTGTGCTTCTTGTCTTTGTATTCATTGGCGCCTATTGTTGGCACTGGCGGCCACCACCCGGCATGGCTGGAGGGCCTCGTACAAACCACGGCGCGCACCTGCTGCGCGTGGGCACGAGGCCGAAGTCCTGGCGATGCCGGTCACTGCACGCCAGTGTGTTGGGCACGAGTTTGCCAATCAACATGAAATGGCCAATCAAAATTAATGTTAGCAGAATGTCCCCTACGTGGGAAATGGATGACCCTTCTCAGCGGAGCCCGCGTGTCCTGCCCAATGGAAGGGCGCGGCGCACGCTGCACGGACGTAAATGAAGAACAAATGAAGGTGGCTGCGGTAACCCTCGCCGGGCAATGCACGCAGACCACGATCCGAAAACAAACCGTCATAATCTATCCCATTTCCATGCGTCTACTTTATTAAAATAATCCTATCACGCGAAACAAAAACCACGCAGGCTAGCAGAAGCCAAGTCCCCTTTGCCGCAAGGGGAAGACCAGGCAAAGCGGACGGCAAACATCGCACAAACATCAGACGGCGCCGGTGTTGACGGCGCACGCCACGTTGAAGTGCCGCGCTATCTGTCCCGAGTGCGAGACACGGACACGACTCGTACGTGCACACAGGCACACACGCACACACACACACACACAGGCACACACACACAGGCACACACACACAGGCACACACGCACACACACACACAGAGCTTGGCGCAAGTAAATAATCAGCGGCAGTGAATTCCCGGGGCTTGACACGGCCCGCCACTCACCTGGCAAAGGGCCCACGGCTGACAGAAGCTCCCACACGAGCGGGGGGGGGGGGGGGTTTGAGAACCCACGCTCGGCATCGGCCTCTCCCGCCAACCCAAGGAGACTTGAATATTAGAGCCGATATGTCAAATGGGGCATCTTAGCTGGTTAAAATAATATTTTATTGATTTCATGATGCCACAATTACCTCAGAAACCTCTCGATCAATTGAGCTTCGCACTTAAAATATACGTAGTTCGGTGTCACTGTCTGGTGAATATTACCTAAAACAACATCAAAATGGTCCGATTGCAGCTCTTATTTAAATTTCCTTGAGATATAATTCACTCACTGCTTGTGATGACGATGATATGGACAAATGTTACATCATTATTCATGCCTGCCACCAAACACAACGCACGACCTGTCAAAGAGAAAGTAGTAGCAGCAGTCTCAAAACCCTGCGACCTTTTCCATGCCATGGGGGAGGCCTTGTAGCATGAAACCACATTCGTTCTGACTTCTGCACAGTATCCACACCTGGCACAACCCTTGACTACTGCCATATCTCATGCAACACCGTCCACGAGATTCGTTCGTTTTGTTTAGCAGTGGTTTAAATCGCTCCTGCTACAATGTCGTCTCGTTATATTCTCCGTTACACTCTCTCATGCAGCCCTAAATCACGGAGCAATGTTCAGAAAGCCGCCTGCATGTGCAGTGTGTGCCGGCACGTGAGAACACCGATATATATTTATATATTTACAGAAATAGACCTGTCAGGCCACTTTGAAAGATTTGTATATAGAATAAATATCTCTCTCAAGGGCATGCATTTATTTAACCACATTTGTCAAAGCACGCCGCGTACTTTGCAACTCGCAATGGTGATGTGCGACTCCAGCGTTGGCTTCAAAAGGGTTAATAATGAACACCGGCAGACAATACGGAGTGGCAAAAGCGTCGCATTAAACGGCTGGCTGCTTGAGTGCAATAATGCTCTCACATTTTGTCCAAAGCAAATGAACGGAGCCACGTGAGTCGTGGCTTCTCTTCACGATGAACACAGCGGGGTAGCCACTTCCTCTCCCTCATCCGCGGTCACTCGCCAGGTTCACACGCCGGGTTCACTCGCCGGGTTCACTCGCCGGGTTCACACGCCGGGTTCACACGCAGGGTTCACACGCCGGGTTCACACGCCGGGTTCACACGCCGGGTTCACACGCAGGGTTCACACGCAGGGTTCACTCGCCGGGTTCACACGCAGGGTTCACTCGCCGGGTTCACTCGCCGGGTTCACGCGCCGGGTTCACTCGCCGGGTTCACTCGCCGGGTTCACACGCAGGGTTCACTCGCCGGGTTCACTCGCCGGGTTCACTCGCCGGGTTCACGCGCCGGGTTCACTCGCCGGGTTCACGCGCCGGGTTCACGCGCCGGGTTCACTCGCCGGGTTCACACGCCGGGTTCACTCGCCAGGGGTCACTCGCCGGGTTCACACTGCAGGGTTCACAGTCGACCGGGTTCACTCGGCCGGGTTCACGCGCCGGGTTCACTCTCCGGGTCACTCGCCGGGTTCACAGCGCAGGGTTCACGTCGCCGGGTTCCACTCGCCGGGTTCAACTCGCCGAGGTCACATCGCCGGGTTCACTCGCCGGTTCAACGGCGCCCGGTTTCACCTCGCCGGGTTCACTCCGCCGGGTTCACTCGCCGGGTTTCACTCGCTCGGGTCACCCATCGCCGGGTTCACTTCGCCGGGTAATCAGCCGGTGGGTTCACTCGCCGGGTTCACTCGCCGGGTTCACGCGCCGGGTTCACTCGCCGGGTTCACACGCAGGGTTCACACGCCGGGTTCACTCGCCGGGTTCACTCGCCGGGTTCACTCGCCGGGTTCACTCGCCGGGTTCACTCGCCGGGTTCACACGCCGGGTTCACTCGCCGGGTTCACACGCCGGGTTCACACGCCGGGTTCACTCGCCGGGTTCACACGCCGGGTTCACTCGCCGGGTTCACTCGCCGGGTTCACTCGCCGGGTTCACGCCGGGTTCACTCGCCGGGTTCACCGCAGGGTTCACGCAGGGTTCACTCGCCGGGTTCACTCGCCGGGTTCACTCGCCGGGTTCACACGCCGGGTTCACTCGCCGGGTTCACTCGCCGGGTTCACTCGCCGGGTTCACACGCCGGGTTCACACGCCGGGTTCACTCGCCGGGTTCACTCGCCGGGTTCACACGCCGGGTTCACTCGCCGGGTTCACTCGCCGGGTTCACACGCCGGGTTCACTCGCCGGGTTCACGCGCCGCTCGAACGGGCAGCGCTCCTGTCCGCCGCCATCGCCGAGCCAGGGGTGGAAACTCCACATTCCCGCGGCGGGGGGGGGGGGGTCAATCTACCCTCTATGGGGCGTCCTTATCATCAGTATGAACTTGGACAATATACGGAGCATCCCTTCCCCCCTCCCCCCGCCCGGATATGCATTTGATAATTCAATATCAATCCACGGTGCCTTATTAAAAGGCGCACGACACCACAATGTGCAAAGACGGCCTTACTGCGTATCAAGGCCGACAACAATGAGCGAACGTCTCCCGCAAAACGCCAAAAGGGTGTGGGGCTGAAGCACACGTGGGGCAGCAGCGACACTCACTCTGCGCTTCGAATCGGCGGATGATGGTCTCCAGGAAGGTGTTCTGCAGCGCCACGTGGCCCCGCCGCACGGGCATCTTGCACACGAACTGTGGTCGTCTCCTTTCTCTTCCTCGAACGGCGGTCGTGGAAATAATGAATCAACTTAACCAGAGCGCGCGAGAGCGAGAGAGCGGCGAGGAGGGATAAACTAGGCGCGCGTCCAGCCAATTACACGTCTTGTTGTGGCGCTTGATGTTGTGGTTGTGTCAGCTGCTATTGTTCATTCACCCCCTTTCCCTCGAACATAAACTCGCGAAACACACGCGCGCTGCTGCTGCTACTGCTACTGACGCTGTTGCTCTTAAAAGACGACTACGGCCGGTGTTTTATCCGCGCCTGTTACTCATCAGGGCTTGACGACAGTGATGATGATGATGGTGGTGGTGGTGGTGATAGTAGTAATAGTGGTGGTGATAGGAGTAATCGTGGTGATGGTGGTGATAGGCTGGCACGGACGCGCTATGCGCGCCGGATGAAGTCATCACGGGCGAGCGGGAGTCGAGGGCGCAGAGCTTCGCTCCGGACCGCGAGACTGCGCGGCCGACATCTGCGCGCCCCGAACGGGCTCGGCTCGCTCAGCCTCGCAGCCTCCGCCCCCAGCGGGGGGGTTCCTCTCGTTAGAGGCAAACGCCATTTCCGTCTTCCCCCCCCCGCCCCTTTGGTGCGGGCTCCACTTTGCCTACCGCCACGGGCGCCGCGCGGTGGTTTCACGTTGCGAGCGCTGACTCTGGTTCCTCTCGGCGTCGCAAGCAGGCGGCCACCAGCCGCGTTCACGAGCGCAGCGGCGAGAAGGGGCGAGGAGTCACGTTGGGGGAGACGGGGGGAGGATCACAGCAGCTGCTGCTGCTGCTGCTGTGTAGAAAGATATCGCAAGACCGTGCTAGCTCACAACAGACAGACACGCGGTTCACAACACCACCACCCATGCGGCGTTGATGCGAGGAGGATGACGATGGTGGTGATGATGATGACGATGAGTGAACTTGTATAAGACACAGCCGCACTCGTCGGCGTGGAGAAGCGGGTGTACCACATGCACACCGCTGCCCGCTCGTATTGCTCCCCGCGCTGTACGTGGCGATAAGTGGAGCCTGGGATTTCATTGTACTGTATTAATTTATTATTTTTATTACATATTTTCCATTTCGTACCCATCGACTTTGGCGCCTCGTGCGAGGAGCGAGCGAGCGGGCGAGTTAAAGCTCAGAGCGAGCTAACAAGCGTGAGTTCGTGTAACAATGTGTTTAATCGGCGAACGAAAATAATACTTGTGGTTCATCGACCAAATTAACCTTTTGAACCAAGGCTTCCCAGGAACATATTTAATAAAACCACCCACCCCACCACCCCACCACCCTACTCCCCCCCCCCCACCCGGGGACTGTGTTTTTACATTGGTCGATGGACTTACGAGTTGTTTGCGTTTCAGCGATGAAACAAACAGCCATTTCGTGTCTCTATTGGGGTGGTACCGACGACAAGTCGGCGAGAGGCCTCGCGCGATCGCTTTGTTCCGGGTGAGCAGATCGAGACGGCCTCTGCCGTGTCGCCGCTGCGCGCGCTACGCCGCCGCCGCCGCCGCGTCTCTGGGAAGCGTCGTGGTGCTGAAATGGACAGCTCCTGCACGGCGGAAGCCGGGTGCGGAATCCACTCATTGTTCTCCGAGCCAATGTATTCACAGGGGACAGCTGACCAAACTGCTGTGTTCATCCCGCCTCTGCCGGCTGCTCCATTAATCAACTGGCGGCTCGTTTTGGCAGTCCGTCATTGTCGACGAGGCGTTTTCAGCTGCGCCACGGCAGAGGCTTGATTGCTCGGCTCAGCGGGGTGTTTATCTGATTAGATCTGTCTGTGCACCTGTGATCTTCCCAAATGTATTGTCAGTGCGTTCCGCGGTGACAATTTGTTTGCAGTGTTTGTAAAATATATTTATTGCTGCGCCGAAATTGTTCGCTTCCCCCCCCTCCCTCCCTCCGCAGTGTTCACGTCTCGCACATGGACGATCTTTGACGTGTAAAGCACGAACGGCGCCTGCAACGGCAGCAGCCACAGTGGTGAGCTGCTGCTGCTGCTGCTGCTGCCGGCGCAACACGCGTGTGTCGTCGTTACAGTGCGGTAGGCGGAGTGGACGAACGGGAATGGCATCTCTCCCCATGCCGCCTCCACCCCCCCACCCCCACCCCCCCAAACAATGTCACACATTTGTCCTGCCCCATCTGAGTCGACCCACTGTACAGTATCGATAAATATAGCATCGCGTGCCACTGCAGGAAACTCACGCGCGGTTCACGGACAGACAAAGCCACGCAAGCCCGCAGCACGCACAGAGAAGCGGCGCGCCCATTTGCGTAGCTCTGTGGCGTTCTGTTGGGGTGGAGGCACGGTGGTTAGAGTATTGCACTGTGGTCTCGGCTACCTGAGTTGGATTCCCAGCCACGGCGAACGAACGTTAGTGGCGAGTGATATGTAATTAGGTGTCAGTTTTGTTGCCAGATAAAAGGGTAAAAAAACAATTATCATATTTTTTACTGGCAAATGAGGTTCCAATAGTGTAAATGCTTACCCCGAGCTCTCATACTCTGATGGTGCATTGTCTTTGAGTTGTGCGCTTTTTGGTGTCATCTGGTCCAACCCATGTGAGACTAGGCTCTAAGGAAAGCTGTCTCGGGTGTGGACCAATCAACTTCAAGGACAGTGCATACATTATCAGAGTTATGTTTTTGTTTGCATAATGACTGCAGGTATTGTGGTCTATGCAAACATGACTCCTTGTAAAAAAGGTGTCAGTTTTGTTGCCAGATAAAAGGGTAAAAAAACAATCATCATAATGATATGTAATTAACCAGTCATGAGCACTTGCTAATGTTTTGCCTTTTAAGGGAAATATATAGTTAGGAGTGTCGCTAAGGTGAATATGTAATATCTGAGTGTTCTTGCGTTTTGTACAGGGCGATCCAGATGTATTGTGACCCGCAATTCATGGACCCCTAACAGGTTTTTTCCTTTGCACATTCATTTCTGTTTCAAATAAACCTTACTGACAACAATCAAAAATATTTTATGGAATTAGATGGGGGCCACAAGCCATCTGGACCACGCTGCACATTGGGGTTTCCCCGAGTCGTCCCTGCATATGAGCCACGTGGTGTCCGCTGTGGCCTTCACCTGGTTCGAAGTGCTATTGTGATACGTCGTTGGTCGATGGTCAAGACGCACAACGGAGTGGTAGCCACACGAGCGGACGTCCACCGGGAAGACGGAGCGATGAAATCGACTGCCGTGCACGATCTCAACGGGTCGTGGTTTCGCGTGGCCGTGGGGAGTGACGGCAGCCTTGGGGATGATGCCTTAATCCAGCAGCGGAGAGATGTGAACGACACATCTCCACGCAAGCGCCGGCTTCCGCCAATCAGTCTGAACTGTGCTCAAAGCACGCGGTACAAATGATGCAACGTCCCCACGCCACTGACTTGTTGTTGTTGTTGCTCCATCCAAGCGGGGATCGGTGCCACTTTAGCCATTGCTCCAGCGCCACCTGCAGTAGCTTCCGCGACACGTGTACAGTGAGGACGCGTGGCTATTTAAAGACTCGGCACCGCGTGTCCGCAAGCGACGGGAGGATGGCTGCACGCGGCCGGCGCGAGTGGAGAGTCACAACAAGCCTAGTGGTTCCTTTCGGTACCTGCGGCCGTCCGTTTGAACGACGGGAAAGCAGATCGACGTGCACTGCACTGGATACACGCGGCTGAACACCCACACATCTCGGCATGTCAATCCGCTGACGGATGAGAGGAATTGCTTGACCGCACTTAGCGCTGGGTCACTGCGGGTTGGCAAAATCACGGGAGCACAGATGTACACTACAACGATGGATTAGGATCCATTGCTGCCCACTGCATATCCCCTTTCCCACCGCAGCCCTTGTGTTGTGCGAGGTGGCTGCCCATTCGCAGGCACGAGGCAGCCTCAGCTCGACTTGGCTTCAGCGATGAGACGACACCGTGCCGGTGCCGTTGCACGCTGGGATTTGGGGTCACGCTGGGATTTGGGGTCACGCTGGAATTTGGGGTCACGCTGTGATAACAGCGCGGGAGTTCTCTCCCCGAGAGAGGAGCGCCCCCGCTCCGTCGCACCTAGGCGCGCGATGCCTTCGAGATGGCGGGCACGACGGCTTAGAGCGCAAATCGAATGAGGAATGAAAGCCGGGAGGGTGAGGGGCAGAGGCAGGGGTGAGAGCTTGGGTACACGTGGGGGACTAATGCGAGGGACTGGTTGGCAATCGTGTTCGGGTTACAGGAAGGGATAGAGTCCAGTCGGCTCGTTTGTTTTGGCCACTCACAGTTTGACCTCCCTATTGCCGAATAGAGATTGTGTTCACTTTTAGTTCACTTTTCACTTTTGGGGGGGGGGGGGGGATCCGATTCACGTGGCATTTTTGGCAGGACGATGGCCGATTTCTTTGCTGTTGTCACAGAAAGATGGGGGACTTCTGAAATGCCACGTGGGCTGCAATTTCACGGGTGCCCTTTGCTCAAATTGTGACCGCTTTGTGGCACGGCCCCAGTCGGATGCGATTCGATTTGGTCACGGTGTGAAGCGGGGGTGGACCTAAGGGGGCGATGCTGATTGCAGAATTGTGGAATTGTGTCCGCTGTTCGCGAGCCGCCATTCTGCTGCCCGAAAATTGCAACATTTCACACCTGGGGGCGAGGCGACTCAAGGGAGACGCAGAGCGCTTCGAGCGACCACAACTCCAGTCCCTGGTGCTCACACGGCGGTCTGGCACAAGTTGTGCGCCGCAGTGAAACGAGCCCATTGCTGGAATGGTTAAGATAGATCGTGGACTGGTGAAGATGATGCCAAGAACGCAGGATATTCTGTTGTATGCTGAGCAGATTGGTACCTCCTATCCATTTCTCGTGCCTAATTGGTCTCAAAATGCGCTCCTAAATGAGGCACAGTGGGTCTAGTGGAAATTCGTGGCTGTTGTGGCTTCCCACAATACCAGAAAATGTGCCCTCGTTCAGTTGAGCCGCTGTTGTTTGCACAGCCGCCGTGCAGCCTCAGAAGAGACGACGACGCGAGCATTGTTCTGCTCGTTTTGGCTTCGTGCCCCGTCGTGAGATCCAGTGATATTTACTCAGCTCTCAAGTGCAAGTGGCACTGCCATGCTTTATCCAGCCGAGTGGCGCTGTGGTTATAGCGCACAACTTACACAGTTCAAGTTCTGCCCAAAGGTCAACTCAATCTATCGAAAGAGTACCACTTTGTGGAGAGTCAGCAATGCTTGTGCTGTGGACACACTTGCCCCGTCATAGGAGTGTTGAATTTCAGCCACTGGCTCTGAATCACCGGCAGCGATGAGCACCACCCCACGCTCGACCGAGCACGAAGACTCGGACTTGTTGTTGGCTGGCACTCTAGCGGCCATCGCTCACACGGCGCCAAACGTATGGTCCCAGCCGATGGCATTTAGGCGGCGAGTGGATTTTGGACGAGGCTGGGATTTGACAATGCCGGCAGAGCTCTCAGCTCGTGGATTTAGCATCAGGGCAACCCGTGACCTCTGCGTCCGAGTGGATGAGGCTGTCACTGCCTGGCGTTCTTACCGTAGCTCACGCCGCTGAGCTCGCTCGTAGACTGGAACGCGTTATCTCTTCTGCTACCAGCAACCACCGACACGTTAACACTGGCGCCACAGTGGCGAGGTGTTAACTACCTCGCCTGGTATGAAGGAGGTAGTGGGTTCGATCCCGACCCTGACGCTTGCTGTATATTTGGAGTTTGCACGTTCTCCCCGTGGTCACGTGCATTTTTCTCCTGGTCCTCCGGGTTTTCCCTCCTCATTTAGAATCAACATGCGCTTCGAGTATTTGGCGGCTATACATTTCCACATGATAAGCCACTTCGTTGAGATATCATTTGTGGTCAGGTTCCTTATGAAA